TAATTTAACAACAATTAAATTATCTGTTCATTAACATTGTTTAAATAATTAAGTGATAATTATTTGAACGTTTACATAAGCATTGGTATACAACACTTATACAATACTATACCATACATTTTGCAAGAGTTATACCATACTGAATGTCCCTATACTCATTCAGTCATGGATGGTGGTGTGACCCACTACCCAAAACTGTGACTTGCCACCTTGAATGGTTATGGTGATCCAGAACTACTGATCCATGGCATCGCCATGGATCAATTTCACTCTTTTATTAAATAAAATTAGGTTTTCAATACATATGTTTACATAATAATTTGTTAAAATTTCACCTCTATTTCTATTGCTACTATTACTATTGTTCATACTTCCAGTACTAGTATTAGTATTATTAGTGTTGTTGTTGTCATCCTCATTATTGTTTCTATTAATAGATCTATTATTACTACTATTTCTACTGTTATTCTTATTATTATTATTGTTAAACCTTTTCACTTTCTGCTCTATTGTGATTCCTGTTTCCTTTTCCCATTGTATGATACTATCACACCTCACTTTCCATATCTTTTCTTTGGATTTTCCACTATCTTTTTACATAAGCTTCTTGTTAATTTGCTTATTTTGTTTTTAGGTATTTTTTGTTCTTTTAAATACATAGGTAAACTCAATAAGTCGGACACAAATGGCTGGACATGGTGTCCGACTTATCAAGAGATCTGACTTATCAAAATATGCAATTTTACAAAAAATAAAAAATAAAAAATAAGAAAATCATTGTTTAAATCATATTTATTTATTTATAACAATAATTGAAAAAATAATTTAATAAAACAGATAGAGGATAAAACAAAAAAATCACTACTCTTTATCTAAATAAATATTCATACTGGTTTGTACTAAAGAATTATTTTTTTTTCTATTAATTTTCCATTTTAAATCTTTTAATCATTTAATGATGAGACAACAAAATGTGAATTCATTTAATGATGAGGTAATAAATGACATAATTGATGAATATAACAATAAAATACATTATTTGCAAAGACAAATTTTTTAAAATGATTATAATTGATAATAATATTATTCACGAAACAGATTTATTACAAATCATGAATAATGAAATTATTATTACAAAAATTTATTGGATAATACATTACTAAAAATAGTAAAGATTATCTCTCAAGATTTATGAAAATCACGTGAACCGACTTATCGAGAGTCATTTATTATTATCTGGCTGGAGGAGTTGTCCGACTTACAGCTTAACAAGAGTTTATATATGTGTCTGACTTATCAAGAAATTTTTAAATATAAAAAAAAAGGGATGGAAATTTTTGTCCAAGTTAGGCCAAATCCGACTTATTGAGTTTACCTATGTAATTGTATATAATGGTTTTATAACAAAAAAAGAAAAAATAATAAAAATTGTGTTATGTTATCTTGTTTTGATTAGTTATGTTGGCCAGTATTATTACTATAATTTACTATTGTTATTATAATATCTTGCCATGATTACTATTTATCATATTCGAATAAGCTTTATTTGAATTATTTGTTTTATTCATTATGAATTTGAATATCCAAATTACATTTAAAATTTATTCGAATAAACAAACAAAACAAATAATTTGAATAAAATGAATATGAATAATTCAAATAAAACGAATAAAACGAATAATAATAATTCGAATTAAGATTGAGTTGTAATTTGAATAAGAATTTACATTACGAATAGAACTCTAACTATTGAGCAAATGTCATTCTAAGTAATGCAGATTGACACACATTGAATTCTGCACTAAAATTCCAGGCGTAAAAATGAATGTTAAAGGAATTTTTTTTAGCCAGCTTAGCCAGCTCATGTCACTAGTTTTAATAATTGTTGATGTAGAAATATTAATATTAAAATGTTTATCGTTAATGAGTAACTTGTGAAGAGAAATTTGGTCAACTGGCACCATTATTGATGGTGATCAATTTAAATCTAGACAATAAGCTGGGTAACTCCATTAGATGAGAGAAAGAGAAGGAGGGTGACCAATTAAAGAACAAAATATTTAAAAAAGACAAAAAATTAATTAAATATTTGCAATATTTTTATTTTTATTAACCAAAATGTATTTTATTTCACAGTAAATAATGCTGTAATGATGACATATACCACATTGTATCATTCGTTAATTTACTATTTAAATAGTGGTGATATTTAAGAAATATTGATGTGACTTAGATTATACACCGTTAGAACTCAATAATAATGAATATACATGATAAACCAATATTTTTTTATTATTTACCTATTAAAATTTATCTCTACAAGCTAATTTTATTAAGATTTATTAAACTAGAGATTTTTTTTTGTGAAAACATGGACTTTAGTTTAACAAGTTCTGGCTGTATATATATATATGCACGTTATATTCCTACAATGAATAAATAAAATTCTAAAGATTTTTTTGTAAAAGTTGCAATTTTATTTATTAAAATTTGTTAATTCTTTAAATAATACAAGCATCCCTATAGTTGTCACTGTAACTGCAGTAAATAATTCAAAAACTGCAGTGAATGATCCAACAAGGGTAGGTGCTAATAATGCAGCTGTCAGTAATGGTGATCTAATTGTTGGATTTTTTTTTAATGGAGTTACAGGCTTATTTGAAGACAACAACAACAACAACAACAACAATAATCTGGACCAATTTGATTATACAGGTGGCAATAAGTTTTGAGAATAAATAAAGTAATTTTATTTATAGTGATTAGAGTTTTGTTGCGCATTTGTTATATAATTATAAAGTTACCAACCCAACAACTTTTTTATTACCATATATAGCAAATGCCAAAATGACTATATAGAAATAAAATAAGCATTTTATAAAAAAATATCTACATATTATGTATTAAAAATATATTTTTATAAAGCAATATGTATATGTTATGAATATGTTTAAAAATATTATATATTATTATGCATATTAACTATTATAACCATCTATGTATTAACTAATGTATGTATTAACTATTATGTAAACATTAAAAATTATACTTTATCTAAGCAAATGAAGACACTTTAAACTATCTATAAACCAGAATTTCAAAAAAAAAATTCATGGTGTGACAATTGTGTTGGATTTTGTGTGTTAGTATATCATTGTTCTTAATGGTCTTTGGATTCCTTATTCAAATCAATATCTTATAATTTTCTTTTAAATATTTCGCAGCTATTAGTTTTAGCCAATCAGATATTGTATCAGAAATAAAAATATTTGATGATCATCACCATCTTCAACTTTCTTTTTTTGTTTTGTATGGCACGCCATGCTGGACAAAAGTGTACCACATTTTGTTGCAAAAAGTTGCAACATTTTGTTGTTAATTGTATGGCATGACTACATTTTGTTGTAAAAAGTTGCAATTATAGATAGGTGTCTAAATTTTTTCAGGCTTGCAAAAAATTTATTCCGTGATTAATCTCAGTGTTTTTCCTGTTTATATTAATGAATATATATGATACATTTATGGAAATTCCATTTTTCATAAAAAATGGTTTCACTGATATAATTTAATTAATAAAATGGATAAAGCTTGGATAAATGACTGAGCATTTACTGAATAAATTTAATTAATAAAATGGATAAATAACTGAATAATTGCTAAATAAAATGGATATGCATATTCCCTTTCTAAAACATATAGAAAAAATCAAATTAAATTAAAGATTTAAAACAATAAGAATAATAATAGTAATCACATATAATAATAATAATAATCAATTTGATTGTTGCGTAACAATTCTTTCTGATCGTACACCACCAGATCTAAAAAAAGTGATTAGTAATTAGTAGTATAATTGTTATTACAAGAATATATTAACTATAATTTTTGATGTTGAATTTTCTACCTATTTCTAAAAATAATAAAATATGGCCACGTAACAATTCTTTCTGATCGTACACCACCAGATCTAAAAAAAGTGATTAATAATTGATAGTATAATTGTTATATCAACTATAATTTTGATGTTGAATTTTCTACCTGTTTTCTAAAAATAATAAAATATGGCCGCATGACAATTCTTTATGATCTGTACACTGCCAGATCTTACAAGAATATATCATAATAATTCTTTCTAATTTTGTTCAATCATTAACCTTTGGAAAAAGAAATTGTGTAAATACTTTTTTAATTTAAGTATTACATTCTTAAATATTACTTCATAAAACTATTTTTTTATAAATCTCTCTAAAACTAATTAACTAACAACTAAATGAGATCAAAGAAGCTTGAAAAGCAAGTTTTGTAAATATACTTTATGAATGCTTTATCTAGTTATATGATATGCAATAGTTCTTTACCTATTACCATATATTTTTGTATCTTGCTAAGTACTTGATCGAATTGAGTGATCTTAGAGTCAAAAGAAAGCCTGAATTCTATTGCATATAATATTCAAAACTTATTTATAGTTAATATTTAGTAGTTATTTAATATTTGATGCTTTTTAATAATATTATTAAATATCTTTACATTTCTTTTCTTTTTGACAATTTGTATATTATTGTTGCTCGCTTACATTATCTAATTATTTTAATCGTCATTATTTATGTAGAAATGAAATGTAAAAGAAAAACTTTAAACTGGATTTATTTCTTACAATTGGACAAAATTTTACTTGCAGACCATCCAATTTTGCAATTAATTACAACAAAATGTGGTACACTTTTGTCCAGCATGGCGTGCCATACTTTCCTTCATTGATGGATCACGAATTAAATTTTATTGGCTTGAAGATCATCATGCAAATTTGAAAAACTTAATATTGGATGGAGGGAAGGAAATTTAGTTTCAAATTGATAAAAATAAAATGTTTATAATAAATAAAAAAATTAATATAGTATTTCTTTATTGAATGTTTTAATACAT